TGTATTGCTGAGGAGCAGCAGTAGATTCCATGGCCTACTTCCTCTGTGGCTCTATGCAAGCAAGTGGTGATAATGGGAGTGAAAGGGTAGAGTCACTGAGGGAGGGGGCCTTGGCGATGGCTTGTCCAAGGTATCAGCAACTTTGGAGAAGCTCAAGTTTCGCTGAAATGCCAAGAATAAAAATAAAAACCTTAAAGGAAAGATCACTACATGGGGGGAGCCAGTGTGTGGAGGGGTAAAACCCTGACTCGGGCCATTAAAGACGAAGTATTCTCACTGCACAGAAAACTGGGAGCAGGGGGTTTACATGGAGTAACCTGAGCAGGACCATACCAACCTGCAACATGTTGTGGCAAGTATTATATGCTTAATATAATTCAGATCCATGTGTTTTTGAGACTTGGATGTTTTTCTACATTTACCTATTCCCAAAGAAGGCCTGCATATCAAACATAGAATCTCTGAATGTTACAATGGATTTCTGGATAGTTCATGCACAACTTGGCTTAGCCTGTTGGGCATCACTGCTGCCCTGTTTGAATTTTACTCTGTAACTTCCAGAACTTTCTGGTTAGTTTCATGTTCTTGGAAGAGTTCAGTTGTGGGCAACTGAGTGTCTATCTTGGATAATTCTCTACCATTACTGTACTTACTGTGGAACCTCTGACAAGCACCTGAAGCAAACTAGGATCCCATGCAACACAGTTAGGAAACTGCTACAATGGAATAAAAAACTTAGCTGCAAACTTCAGCAAAATGGGGGCCAGTATTTGCATTTCAGTTCAGTATGCATTGGGGCTCAGCAGCTAAAACTGTTGAGGTTGTCAGGGTAGCTTTCACTAGCACAATGTCATTTCCATAAGCAGTTCAGTTAGTAGCTTTTGTCTTGAAACTTTGGAAAGAACTTTTGATTAAAGAATTGCATGATGCTTGATAGTGGAACAGGCAACTTGGTTCCCTCCAAATGATTTGGACTACATCTCCCATAGTTCATGACCACTAGCCATGCTGCCCAGCACTTGTGGGAGTTGTTGCCCAAAACCTCTGGAGGGTTCTCCACCATCTAGCTAAGAAATACATTCTGCATGGAATATTGAACATTCACATCAAATGCTTATTTCAGCATTTCCCCAATATGTTTGGGAGAAAAGAATTTGGAGTGGCTTATCCCTTAATAATTATGAAGACGTCATTCTCAAACAGGCAATTCTTTTCAATCAGGACAACAGTGAAAAAAGGATTATTGGTTTAAAGCTATTGCTGTGCATTTAAAGTGATATGTCAGACCAAGTGTCATGGGACTTTGTTCACTTAAATCCAGGCTTTGTGTCAATAGTGCTAATATCTTTGTTATTTAATCCTTGTAGGAACAATACATTTTAAACCTTAAGTTGTTCCTCTGCCAGGAAAGCTGGTACTTAATGTTTTACTTAAAATGGACTTTCTAGAGCTAAAATATACAGTGCTGTTTGTCTTAATTAAATTCATATGGTATTTAAGTTTGTTATTAGATAACAAAACATCTGGCATTGTACTCTTTTAAACCACAAGCTTAAAGAAAGCATCAAAACAAGACTTTTGAAGAAAGCAATGGTTGCTAGCCACGAAAGCCTAGCCAAGCAGCATGGTGGAGGTGGAGCATGTTTCTTTATGTAGGAAAAACTGTTCAAGAATACAGATGTCTATACCAAATGCACTCCTCTGAATGCATTTCAGGCTGCTCACAATCCTTCCCTAGCAGAAAGCATAGGCATAGCTTTGCTGTCAAATCCAAATAGAAGGAGTAATAGTTATGTAGGAAATGCATCTGTTTTTTACTGTCTTGGTACTGGAAGAACAACTCTGATGTTACAGTTCCTCTGTATCTGGATGTAGGTTACAGAACAGGAAATGTACATTGTAAAACTCCTTCAGACATTATCTTTAAGCTTGTCGTTGCTCAGAGGTCTTTCTTATTGTTTTTTTTTCTGAGCTTGCTAGTGAAGGCAAAAGTTGTAGTCACCTCTCTCCATCCCCTTAATACTCACACCTGCCAAGCCTTCCTCCAGTACCATTCCCCACAGAAATAGTCAGCGGGGAGGAAGAAGTGTGTGCTGTTGGATGCCACTTCTTAAAGTCATACTTTGAGTCTTACAAATCAGGAAAGGCCAGCTAGGGGAAAGGTCTGTGTGCCTACGGGCCTTTGGGGTGCCTTCATCTTGTGGTGTCAAAAACTCCTCAGCCTTCTCCCTAGCTTTGCAAGGAAGGAGGTCTGAAAAACATATGTCACAGATGGTCTATTCTACAGCTGAAAGAAAGAATGTAGAACACGGATTTATTGATTTATTGTGGTTTTTATCCTGCCTTTTTCTCCAAGGAACTCAAGGCAGCTTACCTGATCATCCTCCTCCCTCACTGCACATGTGTCCATGCACGCTGCATGTGCAAGACTCACACATACTGCCAGGAGCCACCTCCCCTCTGCAGCCAGGCCCGTGAGGGCCTTCAGCGCGTGTACCTGTGCCAGGGACAAAGGGAGCACATCTTGCAGACTTTCCTGTGCATAGCTGTCTAGGCAACTTTTCCCACAGACTGTCAGGACAGTGTTTGCCCCATAGCTGGGGGGCAGGGAGAGCAGGGCATGCTGAGAGTCCGCAGGAATGTCAGAAAAAAGCTAGAAGTAGAAGGGAGGTGGGAGATGTGAGTTTCTTTCTTTTTAAGTAAATTTTTATTATTATTTTCTACAAATGAAAAAAGAAACTAAAAAACATCAATCATCAGAAACATCAGACCTGCTGGGTCAGCCCCCCATAATTATTTTTTTAATAGCAATCCGTAAATATATTCAAATCTATGGATAGTCCCGTTTCTCTAGCCAATAATAAAAAGAGTTCCAAGTATGATAGAAGTATGTTTCCTCTTTCTCCTTCAAAGTCAGTTTGTCCATTTCAGCACAATCCAGAATCTTTTTTAAAATCAGTTCCTCAGTGGGTGGCTCTTCACTCCTCCAATGCTGGACAAATGCAATCCTTGCCACAGTAATTACATGTAAAATTAAAGACATAGCTTGTTTATCGACATCATCAAGTACAATGCCTAGTAAAAAGACTTCAGGTTTAAATATTAAAAGATTTTTGTAACATTTCCTCAAGCCATTTATGAATTTTAGCCCAATATTTTTTTGCCTTATCACAAGTCCACCACATATGATAGAAGGTACCTGGTTTATGTTTGCATTTCCAACATCCATTTGACATATTTGAAAACATCTTTGCTAATCTATTTGGCAACAGATACCATCTATAAAACATTTTATAGAGATTTTCTTTATATGAGGTTGCTAAAGTTACCTTGATATTTCTTTTCCACAACTTTTGCCATTTCTGTAACTCAATATTTTATCCAAAATTTTGTGCCCATGTTATCATAGTTTCTTTAACTTGTTCGTCTTCCATTCTCTCATCCAAAAGAAAATTATACAGTCTTTAATCATTTTCTCATCTGATTTTAAGATCACTTGGTCAAAAGTTGTTAACTCCTTATGAAAACCCCACATTTTATAATCTTTAACATATCTCAATTGTATTTGAACCTTATGCCACCAAGAGATATTAATACCCTGCTCTTGTAATTCTTGGTTCTATTTCAATCCTCCATCATTATCCAAAATATCATCATATTTCACAATCATATCAAAATTCAATATGTTTGGATATTCAAGAGCTTCCATAGGAGAAAGCCACCTTGGTAACTGAGTGTAGTTTTGTCTTTAATTTTTCCCACACCGACATTAATGACTTTCTAAGATAATGATTTAAAAAACAACCATGTGTCTTACACTTCTCGTACCACATATAAGTGTGCCAACCCATTTGTAGATCATGCCGAGATGTGAGTTTCTCAGGATGATCACCCTGATGGAGATGCCTGGGCAAAGCCCTTTTGGTCTGCATGAGTAAGCCAATCTTCAGATGAATAAATTGCTGGCTCCCTGAGAAGGATAATTGCACAGCAATTTCCAAGCACCACTCCAGTACAGTTCAGCAACCAGGCAGGAGCAGCAAGCATGCCAGTCTCCAAGGTCCCTTCTGCTGGAGGCAGCACACTGCAATGCCCTGCCGCTGGCAAGTTCCTGTTGCCATGGCTGGGCATCCAATAGCCAAGCACTGGCAAAGTAGAAAGGGAGAGCAAAGCAGCCAATTGGAGCACTGCTGCCTGCAATTCAGTAGTTTATGGGAAGCTTTGGAGAACAGTGGCAGCAGAAAGAGTATTTGCCACAGCTGGGGTTGCTCCTGCTCCAAAACTATGATCAGAGTGTGGAAAGTGCACAAAAATGTGCTTTCTGGGTTCAGACTGCAAAAGAAACAATGGTGAAGCATGCAACCCTTAGAACAAGCCATTGTGTCTCTGCCTGGTTCCATGGAAACCGAGTATGCCATGCTTCACCATGTTTGCTGGGTTCAGGCATAACAACAAGCCACGCTCCCATGCTTTGTGCCATTGCTTGTATTTGTGTCAACCCACCCAATGTATCAAGCTTCTTGACTACCATCATGGTCCACATTTTCAAGCACTTCATGGTGTCTCTCCTCTGGCATGAAGCTGTTTGTTATGGAAACCCTCTTTTATCTTGTTGGCTTCTGGTCCACAGAGATTCAAATCAATATATTTTTGTTGTCGCTGTCTAACTATACATTTAGAATACATAAAGAGTATGAAGTACATACGAACACATTCTCATATAAATAGTGCAGGAGTGACTGGAGGGAACAAATAATAAATGTCACTAACCTTACAGGGTTTTGTAAAGAGGAATAAGGTAATGCAATGGCCAAGTGCAATATAAATGGAAAATGATAATAACAGTACTCAAAAATGTACTTAAATTTTAAGGACAAATAAATAGGAAAGGATAATAAGCAAAAAATTCATAAGGAATTCAAACAGTTTCCTTAATTATACATTGAGGGTGGTTAGCATAACAGTTTAAACAACTAATTATTTATCTTACTGTTTCACAGCTATTTGTATGCACTGGGACAGAAGGTTTGGAAGAGGTGGAAAAAGCGCTACTTTGTTCTTGTACAGGTTAGTAATGTTTCTTACTTGTTTGATTTGGGAAGCTGTATTTCAAGCATCATTAAAGCAATAAACTTTCTATGAATAGAACACCATAGCTTTGATCTTTGTGACAGAAACATGCACAATTTAGCATATAGAGAGCCTTCAGGTTTCTTAATGGCTGAGTGCAGTGAAATATTTTTAATTTGCATGATTTTTTCAAATTGTTCCATGTTCTTACCTGCATCTGTGGTATGGAGCCAAGATTCCCATTTGAGTTTGCTTGCAAAACCTTTCTAGGATAATACCAAGAAAGCATCTCTGTAATCACTTGCCTATAGGTATAGACGTGGTACACAGAAGGTAATGCCCCTTGGGGTTTAGACTAGGCCTATCCAACAACAGGTCAACTTCCTTGGGTTCATGCAGATGTTGTTGCACTACTGGTCATGGAAAAGGCCACCAATAGGGGATATAGTTCAATGGCATCTCATACATACCCGGAAAAACTGTAATGCAGATAGTTTTCAATGGATTTCTTCACTTTTCCAGGAGAAGCCCCTAGGTAAAAGCTGAACATATTGTATCACAGGATACAGTGGGCCAACATAATCCATGAGCAGTTTTGAGTATCTGCATAGATTATTTTTCTGATGGGATTTGTGTATCATGCTATTAAAGCAGTAATAACATTTTACATTATTTATTTATTTATTATTTATTTAGATAACTTATATGTCGCCCCATTCGCATAAGCCTCGGGGCGGCTTCCTATCCATAAAAATGCATTGATAGAAATACATAAAATATTGGAGACATCCTGGTAAAAATTATAGAATCAATAAATAAAATCAACAATTAAAATAACATTTAAATACAAAGGTCTTGGTCTCTCTCTCCTACATGGGGAGACCTTTAAAATTATTTAATTTTTAAACTAAAAATATTTAATTTTTAAACAAATACTAATACAAAAATCATGTAATAAAGTAATAAATTATGTAATACACAAAATATACAAAAAATTTTTTAATCAAGTTTAAAAAAAAAAACATGAATCACCCTTGGTGCACTCCTCCATCAGGCCCATGACTGCCTTTTTTTTCCATTTCCCTGGTCTTTCTAAGATACCCCCTTCCAACCAAAATGGCAATACATCCTTTGAAGGTCTATTACCCTCCTCTTTCATTAATATATATTGAATAAACATACCCCATATATTATTAGAATCAGTCTTTTTATCAATCCTTTTTTCACCCTCATCTCACACATCAACTTGTCATTAACTACTATATTCCAAACTTCTTTGTTCCATTCAATTAATTGGTGATCCCTTTTCTCCTTCCATTTCTTTGCTATTACCAGTGTTGCTGCTGATAACAAATTTATTATTAATTCTTTGATATTCCATTTCCATTTCTTTTCACTAAAAATTAGCAACAATGCTTCAACTTTTAGATTCAATATCTTACTAATCTCCTTAAAAATAATTATCCAGACTATTTTGATGTTTTCTTATTCCCACCACATATGGAAATAGATACTCATATTCCAACCACATCTTCAACATAAATTAGAATTTTTATTATCTATATAAAATAATTTAACCCGGGTCATATACTATTTCCATACTAATTTATAAAAATTTTCCTTAATTGTAATTGACATACTTTTTACTATTATCCCATTATTTCCCCCCAATCATTAAGTCCAGTTTCCATAAAATTTTTAAGAGATTATATTTATCTTCCCTGTCTAATAAAATCTTATATTTCTTCCTTATGGTCCCCCTTGTTTGCATTCCACCTTGCATCTCCCTGGTCATCACAATCTCCTCAAATTTAGTAAGGTCTCTACACTTACCATTTTTCTGCAACCATTCTCTAGTCCATTGTTCCAGTTGCATACCATTAAACCAAGTTAATTTTCTTTTTCCAGATAATGCCTTTATCCTTTCCTTATTATGCATTTTCTCCTTCCAATCTTTTACCCTAAATATTTGTTTTTTCCTTTAATACCTTTCTTAAACTATCCCTCAAATTTTCTGGAAATCCTGTAAGATGATTGACATAAATTCTTCCCTATACTTCTCCCAAGTTCATATCAATTTTTAAAAGGGATTTTCTATCCTTTTTACAATCTTCTTATCATCTTTTTTTAAAGAAAATGTTTGAAAGAGATCCGGCAATTTACTGTTGTTCCATCTCTGGCTGCAAAGAAATATTTGGTATACCTCTTAATTGATTTGCATCATAATATAATTTAATTTTTGGAATACCTAATCCTCCCTCCTTTTATTATTTATGAATTATATCATCTTTTCTTGGGAAAGGGAAAAGCTAAAGGAATTTTTAGGGATGGATTGCAGGAAAGAAGGCAGAAAGAAAAGCACAAGTTTTCTTGCTCCCTGTGCCCTGCACCTGCAGGAGAGGAGAGTGTGCCACACTCCTACGGAAGTCATGCTGGGTCTTGTTGGCGTCCTCTCATTTGGCAAGTCCACATAACCAGGAAAGTGTGGACTCCTGGGAGTATAGAGCTGCAGCCCAAGAATCCTTGGAATGGTACTAGGCCTTCCTCAGAGGTTGATGGATGAATAGCAGGGGGGTTATCTACATATCACAGGCTCTCTGGGTGCTGTTCTGGGGCTCCCCAGGTCCCCTTGCCCAATAGATTTCAGGAATCACAGGAGCAAGAAGAACCTGGGCAGTCCAACAGGACACCGCAGAGCTATCAGGACACCATTCAGAGCTTTCTCAAGGTCCAGTCCCCACAATAGGATTTGGGGGTGTGGGGCTAGGGGCAGTTTTTTGGCTCTCCTCTTTGCCCTTGATGCTTTTTGGCATAGTGCTTAGGGATTAATGCAATAAGTATTCTCTCTGTGTGTTCTCAGGTTCAAAACAAACTTTATTTTAAATAAGTTTCCTGCATTTATATCTTGTTTTCTTCTTCTTCTTCTTCTTTACTCCAGAGTAGGTTCAGCTCTGGACCTTTGCTAGCTAAGATAGGGGATATTTGCATTCTAGATAACACATGGATTTAGAGTAATGTCTGTTTTGGCCCTTGTACTCAGACCTTTATGGAGATGGATATGAAAACTAAATTGTGCATATATTGTGAACATTTTCATTGGAAAAATATCATTCTATGAAGTGTTACATGATCCCTAAATGCAGCATAATGATAAATGGCTCAGTTGCTTTTATCTCAATTACTGCAGTTCAATTACTGTAGAAATCTGTCAAGCCTTGTTGATTCCCATGATCTATACTTGCCACTTACAGCTTTATTGACAATATAGGTCAAGATTTCCAAATAAGCATGCAATAGAGGATGTGAACATTATGATCTTATTGACCCTTTATTGATAAACTAGATGATCTTAATGCAACTTTGCTGGTCAGATATACTGTTTTTCTACACTCAATTCATTTATACGGCAAGTGCCATTTGCTGCACATAGACACTGAGATTCACAGTGTACCAGAGAGCTGGTTCAGGGATTATTTTAATTCAACACTAGCACTTTTAGTCATTGAATACTTGAAGTCTCTCCTTGTCTGTGAATATTCACTTCATTATCTCAGTTCTGTGAATTATCTGGCAGTGTCTGGCAGAAACAGATCAACAGAACTATCTGAAGGTCTACAGTACTTACGTATGCCTAGTTTAGCTATTACAGTGTAAGTGATTCTTCCATGAATACTCCGAGATGGTCCCCATCTCATATTGGCATGTGTTTTGAGTGTGAGCATCCTTCTGCTTACCAGTTAGTAAGATTCTTTGTTCTTTAACATCCTTGTCAGTGTATGTGTCATCTGATTTAGAGCAGCCATGGGCACCTTTTGGGGGTACAAGCACCATCTGCAACTTTTGGACCTGACTGCAGGCTGCATGCCAACTCCTGCTTTTGTACTGTTGAGCTTAGTAGTGGCGGCAGCAAAACATCACAATCTGCCCTTGACTTTTAGTAACCACTACAGAGAGCTGGAGCAGCCAGATTTAGCTTGGAAACACAGTGAATGTGTCTGTTCTAGCTTCCTGTAGTAGTTTTCTGCCAAAATTCAGCAGCATGGGCTATTATGGGCTGCGGATTGCACATTGGCTATCCCTGATTTAGAATGATACTCAGACATGCCCACCTCCAGCAGCCCATATTGAGCTGTTTTGAACTGACAGAAAGTAATCTTCCCTCTCCTGCACACTGTGCCACCTCTCATACACCATCAGTTTTTTGCTTTTCTCTTTCAATTGCTTTCCCTTTGCTTTCTAATTCTGGAAATGCCTCAGGGAAAGGAATGGCCAGGCCAGATGAAATGTATGCCTTTCTTTCCATTACATACAAACACTCCACTCTTCTTGCCAGCTTTCCCCACCTGCAGTCTCAAGTTTACAGTCCATTCTGCCACCTCCTTCTGCTATATGAATTAGACCATGTGTAGAATGATGTGAAGAAACAATATAGACAAATGGATGTTTTGCTGTTCCTTTCCTTTCACATCTCTTGCCCTGACGATAACGGCAGGAGTTGCACTGAATCAGAACCATGTTTTTATTTTAACTTTAACAGCAGCAGTTATTAAGCAGTTGATGAATTGTGGGCTGCATAGTGAATGATACTATCAAAGAAATTAAGAAAAACAACTTGTGATCCGGCAGCACCAAATTGTTGAGCTAGCCCAGTAAACTACTTGGCTATTTATGATGGTTGCTTCCTATTTTACATCTTAGACCTTACTACAAATATCACATGCTTAATATCAGATGAGTTTACACTGCTGTTTCTCTCATTAAATGCACACAAAGGGAAGGGTCAATCATTTCCTGGTTGAGTTTGCTGATTTCGGGGGAACTGCTTATTGTCAGCTGACTGGAAATGCCTATATCTTGCCCTCAGGTATTTGTACTACAGAACAAAATGAGATGTCAGAACAGACCTTGTTTAGAGGTGACCATCCATCAAAATTCAAACTCAGCCATACCTTGCCAATTGTAAACCATCAGCACTCAGCTGTGGAAATCCTTTTTTCTCTTGAAGACTATCTTCCCTCAAGGATTGGCTGTTGGGAATCACGTATCAGTGGTGGACAAGCCAAACTCAAAACAGCTATAACTGCCCCCTCTCTCTGCATCTCCTACCCCATTTTCACCATCTCTCTCCCACTTCCTCCTTGATTTGTCACACCCAGTATTTTAGGACAGATTGATCTTGCCAATGCTCTGAGCATAATAATTAACAGAGGCCTTCTCCCCCCCCCCCAACCCCCCCAACACCCTTAGTTGCCCCATCCATTTTGGCTTTCTTTCCATTTTCCCCTCATGCCCTTTTTCTCTCATTCTTGGTTATATCCCCACCCACCTTTAATTAGTGCAAAAACTGCACCAACTAAAAAAATAACAAGGAAGTTTTCAGCTGTGGCAGGATCATGGCTCAGAGATAAGGAACATGTTTGATAAAGTAGTTTGACCTTTTCTTACTGACTCTATTTTCAGTGAGGAACACCCATTCCTCACCCATGCATTCTAATTATAATAGACAATTTTTCTAAAAATAAAAACTTTCAGCCTCCCATACCACTAATAGACAAATGAGAGATACCATCTCCAACTTTCACAGTAGCTGCATAATCACTGAAGGATTATACAAGGAGGTTTTTTTATGTTATCTCTGTGCTTAAATATCAGTGTTTTTGCCAGACAGATGAAAAACAGTTTTACTTTGTGTGGCTGAATGAAGTTTAGATCTTTATTCATAATTGTTAGGACATCTTCCTTTTCAGCTATATGGAAGTAATTTGTTAGTGCAACATTAGTAGCTAGGTTGTTGTCCACATCCCGGTGAATTGTGTGCTGTATATTGCCAGTCATCCAAGTGTTAAATATGATGGCATGAAATACAGCTGATCTTGAACTTTTTCTTAACCTCAGGTAAGCCAATACACATTTGCTATGTGCAGCTACAGAGAGAAGAAATCTGAGCCTCAAGAATTAATGCAGCTTGAAGGTTATACAGTGGACTATACAGTACCTCATCCAGGTATTTTGATGTGTCATGCTCACTCACTAATTACTAAGCTTTCTTGCAAAAGTTTCCATGTAGTCAGGCAAACAACAGTGTACATCTGTTCACTGGTTGTCAAGTAAAACTAGTTGAATTTGCCAGTGTTGCACCAAAGTTTAGGGAGGTGATTGTACCTCTCTTTGCAAAGTTCCCTAAGCAGTCAAATATTTTTGTAGCATTCTGTGATTTGGTTTATCTTACTGTTCCATTCTTGATCCTACTGGAATCCTACTGTTTTTATTTGGCCTGGTTTTAGCAGATCTGAACCATAAATTGCATAGGTAAAACAGTTGATATCATTAACTGATGCGGGAAAATTACCTGTTTTTAATTTTCTCCCCATTAGCATTACCTGTGAACTTTGGCATAGGATGGGTTATAAATGTTTAAAATAATACATACATACATACATACAATGGAAAGCAGGTAGAGTTGTGTAGCTGCTGTTTTAATAATAGACGTAACAGAGTGCTTTCATTTGGCTTCAGCACTTTGTTTTTGCAAGGACTAGCTCAACTCAGTAGGCAGCAGAGGCAGCTGCCAGGGACAGCAGGATTACAGGGAGTCCAGGTAAAGTGGAGAAATGCCTCAAGGGGGAAACAATTCCCCAGCCCACATGCAAGTGTCAGACTGTTGGTTTGAGTGTTTGTTTGCTTGTACGTTCAAAGGAGACCACAATTCATCCCCTGCTTCATACCTTGTGGTCATGATGGTTTTAGTTGCCCTGCCCCCTTCCCTTTATTCCATTTAGTTTGTTGAATGAAATTGGGGGGACCTTGAAAGAAGGGGGGGAAATGGCCTTCCTTGCATTAAAAAAAAATGTGTCAGGAAGGATCGTTAATTTCACCTCGATCAACCAAATTGCTTGACTAGCTCCTGATTACCTAATTTTGCAGGCCTCCAGGGTGGTCATATGTTCTTCAATGCTGTAAAAGAAGGAGACACTGTGATATTTGCCAGTGATGATGAGCAAGATAGAATCCTGTGGGTTCAAGCAATGTACAGAGCAACAGGTCAGTCTTATAAGCCTGTTCCCGCAAGTCAAGCACAGAAGAGCAATTCAAAAGGAAGCAATATCCACACAGATGTATCTCACAGTAAGTTTACTTTGTTCTTAACTTAGAGAATTTCATTATCACAATTAATCAATATTGACATTGAGTTTTCCTGACAGTTTATGCTGTTAATAGTCACGAAATGCCTGACTTGCAGCTCATTACTGCTGTTGTGTTACTTTTAAAAATGTGCAGTTGATGTTGTCGAAGTTCAGATACATATTCCCATGGAAACTATTTCTTAAAGGATTATTTTTCTTTCAGCAGTTCCATTAGAATTATAGTAGTTAATTTGGACCTGAGAATCTTTATTGCTCAGCAGCTATGTAATGTTTACCCAGAAGCTTTAAGGGAGTGATTGGAGCTGCCAGCCAGAACTGTACCAAGTTGAGGAGAGAGCAAGGTGCTAAGGTTATATAGTTTCTGGCTGGGTAACTCTACAGCCAGGTCAATGGGTGCAGGTTGTCCAAGATTCAAGTTGTCCAGGTCTCTCCTAAGGTGAGTTTGAATCCTCTGGCAACTCAAACTTAGCTAGTAGCTGCATCTGCAGCCTAGAGACAATCCTTCTGCCAGGGAGAAATCCCAGCAAAGCACATACTTCCATTCCAACCATGCCAACTATCTAACTCCATAGCACAGAAAGCAGAAGGAAAGGTCCACATAGGCTTTGCAGTGATTCTGTACAGTGTTCAGAACATCACACTAGAAAGACACCACATTTTTATGGGTGTTCCTCCAAGGTGAACTCCACAGAGCAACTGTCTCTTCCTGGGAAACACAAACAAATAATAATTTTGAATGAAAACAAGGATATGCTGTGTGAGTAAAACCCAGCAGTCCTGACCGCACGACCACTGGAACAGTTAGAAGGGATGCTTCTGATGGGACCATTGTCCTCTCCCAGAGACCCATTTCATGGCACCTCCATTTCCCCTTCCAGTTCTGGATGTATCCAGCCATACAAACCAGAACTAAAGGGCTGGGCGTGGAGCCATAGTTAAAATACCATAGCTTTAACATAATTTGATTCCTGCTGTGGTCTCCTGGAAGAAAGGCCTGGGAAGAGACACAAATACTTAAATGTGCATTATGATAGCATATCAGTGAGTGGTGCAAGGATCAATCAAATCTGGCAGTTATCCCAGGATTCATGCCATTTTATACATCTCCCTTCTTCCCATCCAGATGTGACTCCCATGTGCATTTGGTTGTTTGCCAGTAACTGCTGGCATTTTCCAGCAGGCTTCATCAAATCTCCTGTCCATCTGCTTCATGCAACCACTTTATGGCTTAGCATACCAGTAATAATGGACAGGGAAGTGGGAGTCAAGATAAGTCCACCAGCCTTGCTTGTGTTCCTGTGTCAAGGCTGTGGCCAAGATGCAGACTGTCAGACCTTGCTCAAATCCTGTTATCTGATCCATCATGAAATTAGCTGAAGGAAATACCAAGCAGATTTTTATTAGCTATCATAAAGAGAGAGATGACAGTTTTGGCTTTTATGGAACAGCACCCACTGTAAACCCCAAGCATGAGTTCAGTTCTTTCTCCTTTCCTTGGGTATTACAATTTTTTTTGTGTATTTACTTATTTACTGCTGTATTTATCTAGCCAGTCCACAAGGCTTCTACCCATAGGCCAGTGCACCAGTGTAGAATTGGTTTTTTGTTGATGTAACTCCATTCCGTGTGCAGGGCTCCACACCAACAAGTACTGAAGACTTCAGTGGTATAATGTTATAAAATAAATATATTAATTTTCAAAGAGATAATAAACATAGGTAATCTAATGTACATTTTTTCTATTTTTTCTATTATTTTTAAGAGGGAAATGTAATGGAAAATAAAGGCTACAAATTCTTTTGATTAGTCTTGTTTGAATTGTATTCATGAGAGAGCAAAAGAACAAAAAAACACAGCCGTTTTATTTTCTGTACCATCCGATAATAGAAGATATTCATGCAACAAACAATAACTGAGAAATTGTAGTACTCATTTTTGGTATTGTTTGAGTACGGAAATGTTTAAGAGACAGGAAATTAATATTAACCCAATCAAAATGTTACTGGAAATAAAATTCTATGCAGTTTAAAGCTAATTCTCATTTGTTTCTGTTATTTAACAACTAGCGTGGTTTGGGCTGTGAGGATCATGTATAAATATATGTTTTACTTTTGGAATAGTAGTGTCCCTTTGGGCACAAACTTGCTATCAAGTATATGTGCATTTGTGATAGGGCTTCAATTAGATTTAACTGTGCATAGGATTGCAGCCTAAAGGGTGTTTAATCATACGTGGTCTTGCTTCCTAAACTCTAGAAAAATATACAGCTGTTTCTGCAGATGATAATCTCATACCTTAAACCATCAATGTCCTGTCACACTGTTTAGTTGCTATATCTACCTTGGTGTAATCTGTCACATAGATGTGACTCTTGCTTTGACAATGCAGAGCCAAGTGATATGAATTAGTTTGTGCATCTTTTCAAGATGTGATGCTGTAGATCCTTCAGCTTGAATTAAATAATTCTTCCATCTGCAGATACAGCTGAAAGTTGGACTTGACATGGATCAATATGATCTGGGGCTAAATTTCTAAATGTGACTGATTATGTTAGCATCATACCCACAGATCAATATGGAGTTTTATTATGAACCTAACTCTATAATTGGGTTTAATCAATAAACTTTTGTCTCCTTTTCTATAGAAATTTTAGACTTGTACTATGCACTTTTTTTCAAAAGTACATTTAGGATGCATCTTTTCTCATAATGAACATAAAAAGACCTATATGTGAAATTAAAGGAACAAAGAGAAGCAAAGACCTTATTGTAAGGGTTAAGTCAATTTTTGAATTGATAGCAAACTATTCACCCCCAATGCTGTGTATGGAATCCAAGTGAACTAATGTGCTAATGGATAACTAGTCCTTTTGGCCACTGTAAGGCTTTTTCTGTCCATATTTGGTAGACAACTTACATTGAGGATTTTGACAAAACATACCATTAACGAAAGCAATCACTAAAGCTTGTCTTTTGATAAACCCGCGGGGTTCATAGGCGTTGAAAGATGCAATCTCTGAACAACAATAAATTCAGATCTTTGAAGTAGCATTTAAGATGGTATGTTACATATAATTTACACAAAAAATATTGCTTCCACTTTCATTACTCTATTCTGAAAGGTTGAAGAAGTTTTTTGCCATTACTACATTATGTTTGTTTCATTAAAAGCTGCAAATAAAAAGAAAAAGACTGGAAATGACCCTGCATAAGCTTGTGTGTTCATTTCTGCTCCAGTTTGCCATTTGGGAAATGGCCTTCTAGCCATGTTTGTTTGCTATTTTGGCCTGTGATGTACGTCTTCTTAATGCCCATAAGCACAGGCCGACTCAAACGTTTGTGTGTGCTTTATAAACAGATAAAATGTTCAGTGTTCAGTGCCTTGCACTTAGCATCTTATGAAAACCCCAGAAAGAAAGTGTGTTTTGCCAACATGTTTTACAACTTAGTTTTCTAGAGGCACAGCAGAAATCTACACTGTTGGAATATATGTTGCATTGGTTTTGCAAAGCAGTAGAATGGATTGTTTGTTCTTTTTCATTTTGATACTGTGGGGTAACATTTGCTGTTGGTTTGACGAGCATATGAAAAATGTGTGTATGGGAGCCGGAGGTATTCTTCTGCTATTTATCCAGTTATAGTTAAGCCCCTGTTCCTTGCTTAAATTTTATTGTGATAAGTGTTTATCAGTGAAAGGGTGGCTGAGGAATGGAAGGGATTTCCTGAAGAAGGCTATTCTCCCATTAATTTCTTAAAGCAGGGTCATCTACATGCTTTCTCATTCCCTACAATCAGATGCAGATCTTGCTCAGAAACATGGCATGGATGAGTTTATTTCTGCTAATCCTTGCAAGTTTGACCATGCTGCACTCTTTAGAATACTTCAGAGGCAGACCTTGGATCACCGATTGAATGATTCCTATTCTTGTTTGGTGAGTAAAAAGGCTGAAATAAAAGAAGCAGGGAAGAGAAAAAGTGAGAAATAGTTGTTGCAAAGTGGTCTTTTCTTCCAGACTCATTTAATAACTGTGCGTGAGATTGGGATAAAGGATTTCAATCGATTGGCTTCAAATTTGAAAATTATACACTTGAAGGCTACTGCTGTGCCACTCAATAGAGAAGAGAATAGACTCAAACTGACTCTGAACCATGGTTTATCAGCCCCTCTAGGGAGGGCTGAATAAAAACAGAAGGCTTTAATAAATATGGAACCCTCTGTGGTAGGATTTGCTAACACCTGTACAGGCATTTTAAGGTTCAATCCAGTTTGCCAGATGTCAAGCATTATGTCGACTATCTTGTACTTCTCTTTTATGGATTGGGGAGGGGGAAGAACCCACAAAAATAGAATCAAAACCACAGGGGGAGAAAGGCAAATAGAGGTATTGTGCTTGTATTCAGCTGAGTCAAGGTTAGCTTTGTAGGCTTAAATCCTGGATAAATTACTCACCGCTTTAGAGTAGTCTGTATTCTCCCTCTCTTTTTCAGTTTTCAAAAGCAAGTGCAGAGTATTTGAGGAGCAGGGATTTCCATCATGAGGATGCATAATCGAGAAAAATTAAATGAGAAAAATGAAACAAAACGATGTTCCATGCTTACAACTTACACATTGACCGATCTTTGGTTGGCTGCCTAGTTTGCTTTGCTTCTAATCATACTACAATTCTTCAACCAGCCAATAAAACAAACTGCAAGATTACAAAATCTTTATTTAAAACTTTTTTTAAAAAATCATAAACTAAGAAGCATACAAGAAAAATGTTCTCACATTTTGGAGGTTAGGAGTATCTTGCAACATGTTTACACATTATCTAATGCAATGTGAAGGCCAGTTCATTGACTAAAGTGCATATTCTCTGCTTTAGGCATCTTTTATTCACATATATTTTACACTGGCACCTTTGATTTACAAAATACTACTAATGAAGGGCCATTCACACATTATGCAGAAGTGAAGCCAGGTTTACCGCTGAGTGTATGCTTGAAAGGGACCTGCAGCCAGTCCTAGCTTCCTGAGGCATATTCCTGTGTTACATGAATATTGTTAGAGAAAAAGTTGTAGCATTTGCATGAGACATTTTAAAACCAACTTGGGTGGAAAATATAGGGCACAATCCTTCCCAGCATGGCCTCATTGCTTTCATTCCAAAGAATTCCTATTGGGCTTAGAAGAGCCCTGATAATGTTCCCATTTTTTGCTCTATACAAACATGAAGCATGATGGGGTGCTATGGAGGCTCTTCTGCTCCAGCTGGTGAGTATAGATGCCTGTACATCATTCTTTGATAGCTGGGACTTGAGAGATACCTATATGTGCTGCTGAAACATACAATATTTGAAAGCTGCTTTATACCAAGTTAGGCCATTGGTCCATCAAGCCCATTGGGAGTTGACATTGATGCGATTCACACTGAATAACAAACCAGTTGTCACTGGGTTGTCACCGAACCCTGATTTGCTAACCACAAGCAAGCCACAGGTTTCAACTCAGTAATAAAACATGGGTTCTCATTGTTCTCTTTGCAGAAACTTCAATGATTTGTTAGTACAGCTGGGTTCATACAACACAAGCCATGATTCAGTAACAGCCCATGGTTCAAGAACAATCCACATTCAACCCATAATGTGGCTCGTTGTATTGTGTGAACCTGGGCCCTGGTTGGCAAATACTCTCCAAGGTTTCAGATAAATGCCATGAATGGAAGCTTCCTTAATTGTCCTGCCTGAAAAAATGTCAGGAATCAAACCTGGCACCATCTGGATGTGAAACATGCACTTCACCACTGAGCTATGGCCTTCTCCTTATCATCGGCATTTAGAAGGAGGTTGTAGGGGAGTCACTCTAATCCTCACAATATTGCTGCAAGGGTAGATTTCTGCTATTGGAAGTTAGCTGCTCTCAAAGCTCTTACACAGATGTTATCTAAATAATCGTATACATTCTTCAGTCAGAAGAATGTGGAGGGATTTCATTTTACCTTACATGATGTGAACAGAACACTTTCCATCTGCATATGCTGAAAGTATGTTCTAAAAGTATCCTTTTTGTACTTATGTAAATTAAGTAGATACATGTACCATTTCTCCATAAAACAAAACCAACCTAATATGCAATAATTAGATTTAAATATAACTTATGATTAAAACTATTAGCAATACTGAAAATCCTTTTATTAAACTCTCTAGTAGACAGTGGGGAGCTTCTAAGCAATTATAAAATTAAACAGTTATTACCATGACATTACCACACTAAAAACTCATTGCTTTGGATTGTGCTATCAGGACTAAATGTGTATGAAAGAAAAACATCTGGAGAATCTTGTGAGGGGAAAAATAGCAATATGTCCTTGGGCTGTTTTTTACTCTTATGCTTACAGCCACATTTCCACTGCTTAGAATAAGTAAAATATTAATACAGCTATTAATTTTAGACTGCCAGGCCCCACTTGTATTACTCGCATAACTAGTGTATATATGTGTCTAGCACACACAGCCTTTGAAATCATTATGAAGAGGAGAGCTCCATAATCAGAGACCCATTATTTTTCAGCACTGTCAAATTAACTAGGCTACTGAGAATTGCCCGTTAACACTACTTTAAAATATTATTTACTGAAACCCAGGGGGAATTATTCTTCATAGTTTAAAGTCATCATTTCAGGGTCAAGAGAGGAACTTTAATTATAGATGCTTCCTTTACTAAAATATTTTCAGAGGAATAGCCGTATTGGTCTGATGCAACAAAACTAGTAAAAAAAAGTCTCATGGCTTCTCAAAGATATGGGGGGAAGTGGCATAATCTTTCATGGACTAGAGCTCCAAATTCATCTGATGTCTTTAGTCTGCAAGAGCTATGCCATAGTAAGTGTGTTGAACTTTAAGATGCAACAAGACTCACGGCTATTCTTCCAGACTAAGTTGACTTTTGAAAGCTCCTTCTTCCCCAGAACTGTTTTATTTGATCTGAGATGCCTTTAAACTCTCTAGCCCAAACTCTGTCACTTTTGGTATCCATCTTGGTCTATATTGTATTGCCTGATATCTTGCTGATCCTTAGTTCTTCAGAAGGAATGTCAGCTAGCCGCTCTCTGCTGTTTCCCTTCCTGCCTTCTTGTATTCATTGCCTGTGAGAATCCTCAGGTCCTGTATCCCAAGAGCTCTTCACTTTTCCCATGCTTCATGGACACCCAGCATGGTGCTTCCTTCATTTTCCTTGCCTTCCCATAGGATTACTGCTTCCTTTTTGTCTACTGTTTCTAGCAGAAGCACATGCTCCAGGAGTCCTGAGTGCTTCCCTCTCCAGAAGGACATGCTTCTGACTTCCATAGTTCAAACAAATAATAGATTCCAGACCACCCAACTATTCTGCTAATTCCTGTTGAAGTAGGTCTGGTCCTAGACTATCGCAGGATATGTAGCATAGGTAGTTGGGGCATGCTGGAAGTTGTAGCCCCTTCTTTCCTGTTTAAGTTTGCATAGAGTTGCATCTTAAGTGAGTTTAACTTAAGTAAGTCTAACTTAAGTGAGGTAGACTCTTCTCACATACCATTCAGTCTCTCTTGTACCCCATGTATCTCTCTTATCTTCCCACCCATAACACCTTCCCTAAACCGTTCAACTCTTGCTTTACAGTTTTTCCACACAGAAGAATACTCTGTGTGAGAACATTATCCTCCCTTCCCTGGGAAGAATAGCTTATAGTTCCTTTAGTTGAGATAATGTAGATTTTTTTTCATACATTTGTATTTTGGATACACATACTATGGAATATTTTATACCTGAGCTCCTGCAACAGCAACAACAAAAATTCACAACATTTTCCATTTTCAAGCTAACAATTATCACAGCCTAACCATTTTTCATTCATTAACACTCTTGGAATTACACCTATTAAAAATAGCTGGAAAGGTTTGTATACTGCAATGCAAAATTGAATTTTCTAAGCTTGTTCTTATATGAAAAAAGAAGAAAAGAACAGTCCAGATTCATTAAACACTTTTCCCTTCCCCATCTCTTACAGGGCTGGTTTAGCCCAGGCCAAGTCTTCGTGTTAGATGAATATTGTGCTCGTTACGGTGTGAGAGGCTGTCATCGGCATCTCTGCTATTTGAATGAATTGATGGAACACTCAGAGAATGGCGCTGTCATTGACCCAACCTTGCTCCATTACAGCTTTGCCTTTTGTGCTTCTCATGTTCATGGCAACAGGTATTTTAATATGCAGACATGCAGTAGAAAGTCATTAGTCTATGTGGGAAGGGGAAATGAACAGTATATTTACTTATAGCTTCTTCCACTCTCTATATGGTGAAGAGACGAATGAGCATCAAGGAGGTTCAGTTCATATCAAACAACTATATTGGTTCTGGAGTACAATCAAACATGTTTATACAAAAGAGGGATTCACTCTAAAATTGGCTAGAGTTCTGATGACCATTTGAGGACCATGTCTCACTTTATCCGGCAGGCATGTTTGCTGCATGTCTCCCTGTGAACACCATAGGAATTGAAAGGGGGAATAGTACCTGTAAACACATATGAGAGTGCAGTCTAGGAACAATTTGCCCATAGTGGTGGATAGATAATAACCCACAGTGGGAGAGACCAATGCTATAGACATATGGGGTTCTTTGGCCTCATTGGTGACCTTTGGGTACTGGTTTGCAGTGCTTATGACTAAACTCATGACTACGACCTCTGTTCAATCCTAAGAGCGATCAGCATATCAGGAAAAATTGTGCAGATCCATTACAGATTCTAATGAATTGCTCTAAATATATGTTTTGATTCATCTTCTCTAAATCCAGACCAAAATCTGCCTTGAGTTCAGTTTGGAAGCTGTGCTAATTATATTTTGGTTGCTTTATAAAGTATAATTTGAAACTGAAATGTGTGTGCACTATTTCAATATTCTGAAATTAAAAGATATCCCTGACCAAAGCTTCAGTTTTGGGAGATGTGGGATGCTTTTTGACAACTGAAATGTCTTTATTGCCCTCTCCATACTACTGTACACTGCTTTCTTGCCCTCTAGGACTTGCCCTTCCCTTCCAAACAGAATTATAATTTTGTCACAGTCGTAATAAATTGCAATGAATGGATACTTCACTTCCAACAGATGTTGCTTTTCTGATAATAAATCCCAATTTCTGAATTGGGATGGGTGACTTGAGAATGTGATTCTATGATTATTGTTGTAAACTGCCCAGAAAGCTTTGGCTATGGGCAGTATAAAAATGTAGTAGTAATAGTAATATCATTGGGATATATCTAGTAAAGGCTGGAATTTTTGGGGATATAAAGCAAACAAATCCTGTCTATATGCTTCAAGAAGTTGGTGTACCTTCATCCCATGGGGCAGATGCCTTTGAGTAACTTTGTTTTAATCCCTTCAGTGTGTGCTTCATTATTCATGTCTGATAGGAACAGTATGTGTATGTGTTTCAAGAATATCAAATTTCAGTAATATCAAATGTATGTGTATGTGGTTAAGGAATATCAGATTTTGGTTTAATATAGTGTTGAGTGTTAAGAGCAACCAACACTTCCAGTATCTTCAGCTACCCTTTTCTACCATCAGCACCCCTTGTGGAGTTCTGGAAGCACTTGCTATTAATCAACTGTTCTTAACAGCACTCCTGCACACATTTCACCTACCTCTTCTTTCCTTCTCTGGAGGCTAAGAAGTTCTGCTCAGTCACATCTAAAGTAAATTTCTGAAGGAAGAGGGATATCTTTCCCATCTTCTTTAAAAGTAGAATTATTTGTTCATTTATTTATTTATTTATTAGGATATTTTTATTCCATCCAATACGGTTCACCTCTAGATGGCTTACAGTTTAATTAATTAATATTATATTAATAAATATAATTGTTGAGATGTGCCCATTTGCTTTCCGATCTCATTGTGGGAGTGGGAGTTGTTGTATGCACAGAGTTTTCATTGAGAATATTGGTGTTTCTCAGGTAGGGGGAGCTGTGATTCTCAACCATGTGTAGATGAATGGGGGAATGGGGTGTTGTGGGGGGGTGCAGTTGTGTGTATGTACATGCATATGTGCGTATGTGTTTTTGGATGGGTGGGTATGTATGTATTTTTTGTGAGAGAGGATGTTACTTGTGAACAAACGGGTGTTTGTTATGCATGTGTTCTGTGTAAGGGTGGAACATGTGTAAGATGGGGAAGTGCTTCTGACTACTTGTTGCTTTGATCACAACACTTTGTGGGAGCTTCCACTGCTGGTGTGTGGCTTCTGTTTCTTTTGCCCTTCACTATATGGCCTCTCCTTTCATTTATACACCTTCTTTTCTCAGGCAGAAGCTCAGTTATAGTCTCATTAGTCTTCTGTCCTCCCAAACTCATCTTCATGCCTTCTGCCTAAGAAAGTCATGGGATACTAACCAAAACTAACATTCAGGATTGGATCTGAAGATCCCGTGAATTAATTAGGGTTGATTCATTGGAAGCAGTGCGATGGAGGCAATTTGCAGGCCTCTAGTCCCAGAGGTCATGTGAAGTGGCACCCCACTAAAGCTGGAGCCCCAAATCTTTAATGTGTAGGCAGTAATCTCTAAAAAGTCATCTTCCCTACCTCCCTGCTATCCTCATTGGTTTCACTAGATATCTTCAGCCCCGGATCTTTTGAACAGTGCCCCAGATAGTTACAATTGTCCCCAGTTGTTATCATCTGCCTTAATGCAAACCTGCTTTTTTCCTCTGAACTCAATAGCCTTATAGTTACTAAAAGATCTCACACCATCAGCAGATTTTTTAGAAAATGAAGCATGAAGGGATCAAATCTTTTAAACTAGAGAGAAGATAGTCACCTTTCCCTGCTCATTGTTTTTATTAAGTCTGAACGCCAAAATGAAGACAGCATTGCTGTCACCTGGCTTTCTCAGAACATCTCTGTTTTTGCAGAGCTACAGTATGTCCAGCCAATTGCTACTGCACTTCTGTCCTGGACTATTGTAGGCACTTAGGCCCCATCGAGAGGAAGAGGAGGCCCACTAGCTGCCCATATATCAGATGGAGTGCCAAAGGCCTTCCTTATCAGACCAGATCCAGGCCCTTTAACTTGGAAGGAAGAGTTTGAATGGACAGTAATGTCTGAATTTGGGGCGTGATAATATATAAGTGTACAGCTTGCTGCAATTTGAATGAGTGTGCCAGGAGCTTCTTGAACCTGCAGTTATCTTCCTGGAGTGCACCTGCTTTTTTCATGACCCGTGTAGCCAGATGCATATTCCCCCTCAGCATCAGGGGTTTGTAGTAAGCTAGAAAAGAGTAATAGACATGAGGGTGGCTAGGAGTTCCTCATTGTTTTATGAACAAAGATTCACAACTTTACTGTGGCATAATGAGGTTTCATGGGCAGGAGTTCATGGTATAGAAATTTATCTCAAAAGAAGCTGCTTTTCATGTAACTGCAGAAAAATGGCACATACTGAAATAAAGGCACATGGGCCTTGGTGATCTGTGTTACAGATGATCCTCCTAATTTAGCTTTCTTTCCATCTGCATGTGCATTCCCACCTGATGTTCCCTGCTTTGAATCCGTCTGTCTAAACCTTTTTTTTTTTTCTGAAAGCAAATGCCCTCCTCTTCCTTCTCCATATATCCCATTTTACAAATAGGGGTGACCTTAGGAGACAGCTTCCCTTTAAGGACACGCACACAAAGACAGAGAGAGACTTTACAGCCAGGGGCAGCTGCCTCAAACAGCTCCTTTGGAAACCCATGGAAAAAACGGCTAATATTCATCATTTAATTTATTAACGATTATAATTTCACTGCTAGGGAAAGGGAAAGATAGTTAGAGGATTTTCTTCTCAGGTACCAAAACAGTATGACTGGCTTTGAGCACTACTATGCACTTTCTTTAGGCTGGCATGAGAATAATTAAGAGAGACACTATTTGCTGCTCTGCCTTCAGCAGCAAAATGTTTGGAGTAAAAGCCCTGGAATGGTTATAGAGACATGGGCAGTAGGAAAAGGCAGCTGAGATGTGAGGTAGGAAAAAAACTGGAGGTATATTAAGCTATGTGGGTGGGGAAATATGTTCTGCATTACATCAGACTTGCTGTAAAATTACGAACATGTATACTTAGAAACAAGCCACAGTGAGTTCAATGGGATTTCCAAGGAAACATAGGATTAGAGTACTACTCCCTAATAAATGTGTTCAAGGATGCATCTTCCCTGCCCTGAAGATTGTTCCAGTACCTGGATATAAAGAGAAAGCTAGAGACTGATAACTTTGATAGCTTGAAAAACAACTAAGCAAAAAACAGTGGTTGTCATGCTGGTGTATGATTTTTTTCCACAAAACCGAATCCATCATTGGACAATATTAGGACATTTAGTTGACCCAAATAAAAATATGCAATTATGCATTTTCCTTGTATGATAATGAGTTTGCTAGAAATTTAATACTGTACCATTTGGTGTAAATTTTAGGATTTCCAGAAATAAAAACACAGAAACATCTGTTAAGAAGGATGTTCAAAGCCCCAGAAGGTACCAAAATACAGTATTTGAAATAAAACAAAGCACTGCCTTTTGTGGTGGTGCTCTCTGCCTCCTTGCCTGGTCCAGGAGCAGCAAAGCAACGTCTTCCTCTTGTGAAGTCCCTGCCTAGTTCTGGTGGTCTTGTCAGTGATGTACCAGAAGTACCTGATCTTTTTGGTACTTCATACAGTCTCTGATCAGGCCTATTCTACTTAAGGTGTCCCAGGTCAAAGATGGCCTATCAGTCATGGATTGTGATCCCTGACCACCTGTTTTGACATCCTAGACAGAAAACACACCAACAAACCAGGAGCTTTATAAAGCCTTGACAGGCCCATATACATGGCGGGTGGACAGAGTTTGTCATGGAGGGTCACACATGGTCTAAATCTTGATGTGTTCCAATGTCCTCAGACTCTGAAATGATAGGCAAGAAATCCTGCTCACCCATTTTACCTCTGCTATCCTGTCCCATGTCCCTGGAAGAATTGTTACATCCCTTCACACTCTCTGGCATAGTCTCTTTCAGCACCATTCCAATGAGCGCTCCTGGGACTTTTACCCAAGGACAATGATGTGTGTGTAAAGTGGGATTTTCAGGTTGAAGATTCTGTGTGAAATGCTATGATGTTAAAGCTAGAAGTATTTTTATAAATATTATGCACCTTCCCACTTAACCACTGGAGAGACATTGGCT